TTAGACAAACGCTATGGTTGACGTCAGCACTCGATCAGTGGTTTATGGAAAGAAAGAGAAAAGAAGGATCTGATGAAGGCAGAATGGCGAAAATGTCATCTAATATATACAGATTCAGATTCAGTTCATTTGCCATTTGCAGTACTACCACATTGGAATAACTGTGCAAGACTTTACCCCAGTGTGCACCAGACAGAGCACATAGGTAAGTAAGTAAGTGAGTAATATTTATTTATATAGCACATTTTACAGACCAAGGTTTCTTTACGATTGTTGAGAGTTCAGATATATTTCAATTCTCTCCACACACGGTGATGACGGAAGCGAGACGCCGAAAAAACAAGCGCATCAAAGCCCCCAATCGACACCATCCATCCACTCACTCGTTACAATCATTTCTATTGTACATGTTTTTAGTGGTAGTGGAAACCGTAGCACCCGGAGGAAACCTGCGCAGGCATGGGGCGAACATGCAAACTCCACTCAGACAGGCACACACCAATTTTGGGCAGCCATTGTTCTTGTTTTTGGTATTTGCGTTGTTAGCACAGAACACCTACTTGAAAGTATATAGACTGACTCTATAGCCCCCTGCAGAGTAAAGTGATGTCACGGGAACGTCTCGCTCGCAGACTGAGCTACAATAACTCCAGTGTATTTACTGTACCGTGATGTGGAAGTGCATGTGTTCACAGCTCACACAGAAATTATGCCCCACAAACCGTTTTAATCCACAACTCGGAATTTTTTTGCTTTCACTAGAAATCCTTCTCACGTCAAGAGCGAACAGCAACCGAAAATAAACCGTAACATCCGACCGTTGGAAGTCAAACAGCCCGGAGGAAATGAACGTGCAAGAAAGAGCGGGTCCACAAAATGACCGGAGGTGTCTTCTGCAAATATGGACAACATTCTATGAAGAGGAGAGAAGGAATTATTAAAAGGCAAATGGGTCTCTGTGGGTAGGAAGAAAAGCTATTACATGGGTTAGTTTCTCTGAGATTCCAATTGCTTGAAAAATATTGTATTTATTGTGTGTGTCAATTAGTATAACACGTTTATTTTCAATGGAAATTTTATGGGGTTTTTTTAATTACTTTTAACACACAAGTTAATTTAGCTTACTTACAAGAGGAAGGGGGGTCTCTGTGTGTGCGTGAAATAAAAATCTAATCCTACTCTACTTTGATAGGGATAAGGCAGGCCAAAAGAATTTTTAATCCTTCACCAAATGTTTAGATATAATCAAAAATATAATGTTTTACGTTTGTCAAAATTATATTGAATTGAAATATATTGACACGGTCGCGTCTCAGCAAGAAGGTCCTGGGTTCGAATCCCGGTGGGAACAGGGCCTGGAGTTAGAATGTTCTCCCCTTGTCTGCGTAGGTTTCCTCCAGGTGCCCCTGTCTCCCCTACCGCTATAAACATGTACCATAGGTATGAATGAAATGAGTGAGTGAATGGATGGTGTTGATTGGAGGCTTTGATGCACCAGTGTGTTTGGTGTCTCACTTCCGTCATCACTGTGCATGAAGAGAATGAAAAATATCTGTACATTGTAAAGTCTGTAAAAATGTGCTATATAAATAAAGATGACTTACATACTTACTTACAAATGATATACTAATGTACTCGTGACTATCATAGCTGAACACTGCAGAGGCCATAAAAACACTAGACCCCTTCAGCCCACACGCACGCACACCACACACACACACACGCACATATGCACACACACACACACACACGCACATACGCACACACACACATCCTCATGATTTACTCTTATACCAGTGTTTAAAAGCTTCGTGTGCCTGGTATAAAATGGTTTTGCAGGACAGAGGCTTTACGAGCGGCAGCTGAGAACCCGCCTCCACCACCTCAGCCCTAAAACCACGATCAAAACTAAGGTGTAATAATTCCCCAACAATCACTAAAACCAATTCAGTCCAGATGCAGAGTCCTGAGGCCTCACGATACTGAAATAGTTAAAACACTTTTTCTGGATTTACAAACCATTGAAAATAGAGATATATATTGATAAACTATAGATCCACGAGATATTGCATTTGGACCACAGTCATTGCTGATGTAGTAGTGCATGATATTGGTACAGAGCAGTGTTTCCCAACCGGGGGTGCACGGTTAACATGGGCTATTGTGGCATGCTATACATCATTTTACAGCTATAACAACCACAGCAATGATTGTATTCTAATAACTCAACATTAAACAGCATTCATAATAATAATAATAATAATAATAATAATACATAGTCTGTCAGTGTGCAATTACAAGCCTTTCTTACTTTTGCTCTAGTTCATGGTTCAGTTAAGTTTGAAGACATTATTTTGTGCAAATCTCATTCTGATTCTAGTTTTGAATCAGTGTTAGATGATTTGATTCTATGGACAATATTGGAAGAGTTGTAAACATAGAGGAACCTTGAGTGACGCTTACACAAGATAGATTTTAATGTATTTTAGTATACGTGTGCTCCTCATTCCTACTGTTCTGTGACTGGAAATGCAACGCTGAAATTCCCCCCCTGTTGGACGATTAAACGATCTCTTAAATGTCCCAGTAGGAAACCCAACTGGCAGAACTTGACAGTGAAATTCCCACCTTCCTAAATGAAAAACAAAAGTCCGCACTGCAGCCCACGGCCAGGAGGAAGAGGAGGAAGAACAGGGCAAGAAATTAGGAATCAAGTGGTGACGTTTACAACTTCCTTAAGTCCTAACCTTTTTCCCATTACAACATGCACCGGGGTTCATATGTTTTAGCAGCTTTCAGGTCTGCTCCCATAGCACACATAGACCTCTTTTCAATATGGCCTCACGTTTAACCCACTCCAGACCAAAGCACAGTTAGAAAGCACACAGGAGTGATTTAAAGGTGTACTTATGTGTTTGTATGGATGTGTTTTTGCGGCTCGACACATGAATTTCTCCTGTGTCTTCTATCTATCTATCCATCTTTCTATCTATCTATGACCATGATGTACAGTAAGTATTTTATAACATTAAAGTATTTAAAATGGTCCCTCACCTCGGCATAGCTATGACCAGTGTGACTTGCTGGAGGAGAATAGTTAAACCAATGACCAAGGACCTAAAGAATTTGATTATATTTTGACCAATCAGGGAGCTGTGAAGGGGAGACTGACATTGACCGTAAAAAAGAAATAATCTGAAAGAATCTTATTTTTTAACATGAACAATGAAAATGAGAATATTCAATGGTGACAATATCATATCATGGTTTAGAATGTGAAATATATTAAATCTTATAAAAGCTTATGGTGAAGTATGAAGGGTAAAATAATGCAATCAGTTCATACTATCCCTAAGAGTTGAATTTGTTTGTTGTTTACACACATTTGAAAATGACTGGCTGCAGACACAGCCATGTGATTACAACAAGCATCATTTCATCTGAAAAAGTTACAAAACAAATGTATGGATAGTGTGATGTCATGGCGGCACAATGACATCATACTATTGGAGTTAAAACAACTCCAGGTCTGTTTTTTGATGAGGGAACAATGTTTTACAAGATTAAAAGCTCAATAAAAGTACTTTTTGCAAAATAAAGAGCCACTTTTAGCTTTAAGCACTGCACGAGTTGTATGGTCTTCTGTGTTTTCATTTCATGCATTTAATAGTTACTGGTGACTTTTTTTTATTTCATTGGTGTTTTTGCAATTTTATTCATAATATGCTATTCTATGTTTATCTTGCTTCTGTGTAGCACTTTGAAATCAGTTTTATAAAAGGTGCAATTAAGATATATAAACTGAAAAAACAACGAGATGACCATAAAGTAGCTGAAAATCCACTGTAAAAATGTTTTGAGCCAGAATTGTTTGGGCCGTACAGGGGAGCGTGGGACCCGCAACTTCTGGGCAAGATCCTATAAAGTCTGAGATTATTTATGGACTTCCACCAAACATTGAGAGTTGATTGATGCTCTGCTTTTTCAAATTTCGACCACATTTCTGTATCATCTGGATATTATAAGCGGTCAGAAGGGTTTACACGACTTGTCTGAGATGTAACTGGATTTCCTAAAAGTGGGACAAAAGTGTACGCAGGGTCAGACTGTGAGTGTTTGAATTGTCTCCGTTGATTTGCATTATCTCTGACTGCTGCTTTCATATTGATTTAATAATAAAGTTGTCAAGACTTGAATTATAGTGGGTGGGTGAACTTTGAAATGATATCTGATATCCTCCTCCAAGCATTCTGTGAATAATAGACATAGATAAATTGGTTCAAATCAGAAAATAAAAGTGTGTATTCAAAAGTGAGAATAATAGCTATGGAAAACTGTCAAAGTACATTTTGTATAAGTTTGATAAAGTCAAGGTTGTAAGAGGATTTTCTACTTCCGGGTTGACCATCAAGACTATTGGTTCTCCCAAATGTCAATCATTATGGTGATACGTGGTTGTCAATTAAAAAGAGGGCAGTTCTTCCCTAAATATTAAATACTTATAGGTCTAAGTGTGTTGTTGTTTAAAGCTGGGGTACCTCACTTTTTTGTTTCATAAATAATAGTTCTTGTCCCGACAGAAAGACAGAAAAAGTAGTGAACAATCCAGACCACAACACATTCTGTCTTCATCTAATTAGAAACCGTGCTATGTTTTAAATCGTTGTAAAGGGAGAGCCCCGAGAGTCACTATTGGATGTTTTGAGCTGAAAGATGTTTGAAAGGTGTTGAAAGACGGGATGTTGTGGTCTGATGTGTTCATAACATGTAACTTAACACTAGACTTCTCCTTTTACTTGAATGAATTTTTTTCTATATTCCATTTTCAATCTTTTGGCAACCCACATTTTTTCCATAGTGCTGGTCCTGACTGGTCCGGTTCGGAGCTGGGCTTGGGGTGCCACGAGAGAAGAGTGGGTCGATCGGTTGGTGTGGATGTAGGGGTGACTTTGTTGGGGTGTTGATTATGGGTTGGTATTGGATGGTGGGGTCTGTTGGGGATGTGGGGTTTGGTATTTGTAGTGGAGGGGTGGGGGTGGTGGCTGTGTGGTGGGTTGGGGGTGGGGGATGAGTTTGGTTGGGTGGGGTCTGTGTGGTGGTGTGTCGATTGTCTTGAATGGGGGAAGAATTGCTATGATTGTGGGTGACCTGGTTTGGTGGGGGGCGGGGTTGTCTTTGAGGAGTGTTGGTTGTGTGGTATTGGGGTTGTAGTGTTGGTTTGTGTGGTGTGTTTAGGTGTGGGGCGGATCCGGGTTGGGTGGGTTGGGGTTGGGGGAGTGTTGGTGTTGGAATCTGGGTTAGGTGTGGGGGATGCGGTGGGGAGGGGATGGGGGTGTGGGTGGTTGATTGTTGGGGAGGGGGTAGGGTGCGATGGAGTAGTGTTTTGGCGTTTGGGGTTCTTTAGTAGTACGTTGGGGTGTGTTTGGTCGTTGGTGTTTTGGTGTTGGTGTTGAGGTTGCCGAGTTTTGTTGGAGTGTGTGGATTGTAGTTGTATTAGTGTGGGGGGTGTGCGTTGGGCGGTGGTGTGTGGTGTGCTATATTTTTGTGTGAGGGGGCGTCGCCTCGGAGGTCGGGGTGGTGGCGCGTGGGCGTTATGCAGTTGAGTTTGTGTGATATGTTTAGTATGGTTGTGGTTGGTGGGGGGGGGGGTCAAGTGGGGTTGGGGGTGTTGGGTGGTGGGGGGGTTGCCTGGTGGGTGGTGGGTGCGGTGTTTTTGGTGGGTCCTTAGGTGTGGTGTGTTTTGTAAGGGTTGGGTGGGGGTGGTGTGTGTAGTGTTTGGGATGTTGATTTTTAAGCTTTGTTGGGGTGGGGTGTATGATTTCCCTAATCACTCTATTCTATACTCTGTACACGTGGGCTACAGCTTACGCTTGGCAACATGTCCCGTTTAATAGGTCATACTCTTCATATCTTGTTGGGGCTTTGGTATGTTGGTGGGTGGTTTGGTTAGGGGTGTGGGGGGTTGTTGTTGAGGGTTGGTAGTTAGTGGTGTTTTGGTGGTTTTAGGGGGATGATGGTGTGGGTGGGTGGTTTTGGAGTTCGTTGGGAGGAGTGGGGGAGGTTATGTGAGGGTAGGGTTGTGGTGTGTGTGTATTGTAGACGGATTGTTTGGGGGGTAGGGTGGGGTGGGACTGGGTTCGTTAGTGATATGGTTTCGTGGGGTGGGATTAGGGTAGAGAATGGTAAGTGGAGAAGTTGCGTATGATGGTATGGGGGTTGTTGGTGGTAGGGTTTGGTTAGTGGTGTAAAGTGTGTTAGGGGGTGGTTTGGGTGGGTTAGGTAGCGTGGAGTGTGGTGGGTTTGGGTGAGGGGATGTGATGTCTGGTGTTTGGTAGTGGGTTTTAGGTGGGGGTGTGTGAGAGGGGTGGGTGGGGTGTGGGAAGAGTTGGTGGGGTGCGGGTTGGGTGTGGGTGTTGGAAGTCTGGGTGTAAGTGGGGTTAGTGGGAGGGTTGGGTAGGGGGGGTGAGTGTGGCTTGGTGGGGGTTCGTATGGTATGGGTATTAGTGTATGGTGTGTGGTTTGTAGGGTGGTTGTTTTAGGCTTGGTTTGTGTGTTAGGGGTGTGTTGGATTTGAGGGGATTGTGTTTGGTGTGGTGTAGGTTGTGGTGGGGTGTGTGGTGTGTGGTTTAGGTGGTTGTTTGGGTGGTGGGCGTTTTCTTGGTTGAGTTGTGGGTGGTGGGGGGGGGGGGTGTGGTGGGGTTGTGTCTGGTGTTGTTTTTGGGGGGTTTGTTGGGGGGGGGTTGGTGGGGGTGGGGGTCGAGGGATGGGTGGTGGGGGTGTGGGGTGGGGAGGTGGTGGGGGGGTTGGGGTGGGGTGTGGATGGTTGGTTGCGTTGGTTGGGTGGGTGTGTAGGGGTGTTAGGTTAGTGGTTGGTGTGTGGGGGTGGTGGAGGAGTGGTGGTCAGTTTGGCTGGGGTGTGGGGTTTGGGATAGGTGGATGTCTGGAGTGTAGGGGGTTATGGTGTGGGGGTATGGTGGTTGCGTATAGTAGTGGGTGTAGGAGGTAGTGGGGGGTGGGATGGAGGTCTAGATTCGGGTAGTGTGTGAACAGGAAGTGGGATTAGTGAAGGGTGTTGTGGGTGGTATTGCTTGTTGGGAGGTGGGTTGGGCGGGGGGTGCGTTGGGGGGAGTATTTGTAGGTCGTATGGGATGGTGTTATTAGGGTGCTTTGGGTTTTGATCAGTTTTTGAGGATTGGCTAAGTGGTGTGGGAGTGGTGGATGGGAGCTAGCGGAGTAGTGGCGCGGGATGCATTAGTTGGTTTGATGTGGAGGAAGTGGTGAAGAGTGATATGGGGTGGGTGGGTCTGGGGGTGGGTAGTGGATGATTGTGGTGTGGATTTGGGGGTGGGAGTGGGGTTTGTTTATATTAGCGATGGGAGATGTGCTATTGTTGTTTTGGTGTGTAGTCGTTGGTGTTATTGTTCATAGTGAGGATGTGTGAGGTGGTTTTGATATTTTTTATGGATTGTTAGTGTTGGGGGGTGGTTGGTGAGGTATGGAAGTGCAAGGTGGTGTTTGGTGGTTGGGGATAATTGGGTTGGTGGGGTTGGGGTGGTGGGGGAGGTTGATGGGGTGTGTGTGGAGGGTGGTGGTTGGGGGGGGCGGTGTTGTGGGTGGAGTGGGTTTGGGGTGGTAGGGGTAGGATGAGTGGGGGTCCATCCCGTCCCCGGGACACCCACCGGTGGTATGTGTGGGATGGAACTGGTTACGTGGGGAGTGGAGGGGGGGTGGGTGGTGTGGGGTAAGGTCGGAGGGATGGTACGGGGGGTTGGGGTTTGTAAGTGGATGTGGGGGGGGGGGGGGGTTGTTGGTGTTGTGGGAGGTGAGTTGGGGGGGTTGTGGTATGGGGTGTTTGTGATGTTGAGGTATTGGGGCGAGCGTGTTCGAAGGTGTTGTTGTTTGTTGGGTGTGGGGTGTGTGTTGGGGTGGGGTGTGTGGGTTGGGGGTGTGGGGTGCTGGGGGAGATAATGGTTGGGGTGGGGAGGGGGTGTTTGGTAGTTGTGTGTAGGGGTTTGGGGGGTGTGGGGGGTGGGTTGGGGATGTGGGGTGGGTGGTTTGGGGTGGTTGTGTTTGGTGGTGGGTTGTGTGGTGGGTGTGGGGTGGTGTTGGTGGGGGTGTAGTGGTGTTGTGGGGGGGGGGGGGGGGTTGGTCGGGGGGGGGGGGGGGGGGGTGTGTGGGTGTGTGGTTGTGTCGGGTGTGGTCATCTGATTGGGTGGTTGAGTTGGTGTGCTGGGGGTGATAGTTTTGGTGTTGATGAGAGTGTAGTGGGGGTGTGGTTGCGGTGAGTGTGTGGGAAGGATGGGTTGGTGTGTTTAACTGGTTTGTTGGTTGGGTTGGTTGTGGTTGTGGGTTTTTTTTTGTTTTGGTGGTTGGAGTGTCTGGTGTTGTTGGGCATGTTTGTGTGGTTTTGGGGGGAGTGTCGAGGGTGGGGAGTTTCTGTGAGTGTGTTTTGGTTTGTTTTGTTAGGTGGGGGGTGGGGTCTTTATGCGAGCGGGGTGCGGTGGTGAAAGGGGGTGGGAAGTGGGGATGTGAGGGGTGGGGTGGGTGGGTTTTGGTGGGGGGGACGTGTACAGTTGTTAGTGTTGGTTAGTGTGGGGTGGGGTATTGATGGGTATGGAGTGTGGGTTGGGGTGGTATGTTGTCGTGTGCTGGGCTTGAGTTTTGTTTGGGAAAGTGGGTGGTGTGATGGTGGGTCGGTGAGGTAGTAGCGGGGAGAGAGTTGTGAGAATGGGGGGTTTTGTGCAGAGGAGAGCGAGAGGTGAGGCGTTGGGGGTTTGAAGGGTTACGTGTGGGTGTTGGAATATGTAGGCTAATGATTGTTCGCAGTTAGAAGTTGAGTGGGGTTGTGGGGGTTGGTTGGTTTGTCCTGTAGTGAGGTTTTGGCGGGTGTTGCCGCTGTGGGGGATAGGCTTGTAGTTGTGGGTTTTGGGGGTGGTGGGTGGGGTGCGGTTGTTGTTTTTTGGGTAGGGGATGGTGGGTTTGGGGAGTGTTGTGGGTGTTGAATGTGTGGGGCATGTTTGGTTTGGTTTGGAGTGCGGGGGTTTGGTGGGTTTTTCTTGGGATGTGTTGTGGTTGGGGCGTGGTGCTGGATCAGAAGTTATGGTGTAGGGGGGTTTGAGATCGGGAGTTGGTTGGGTGGGGGGGTTTGTTGGGTTGGGGGTGAGGGTGGAGTGTGTGGGGGTTTGGGTAGGGTTTGAGTGACGGTTTGGGTGTGAAGCTTGGCCCGAGTGTGAAAGATGTGTGCTGGAGTCTGAATAATGGCTTTTTGCATGGTTCCTGTGGTTTGTCTTTGACGATAATTTTTTATTTAGGTTTTGACGTTTATGTTATAATATTATTCAAACTTGTTATGTTATATTAATAGGATTTTTTAATACACATATAAAACTCCTATTTCTTGTGTTCCAGTTAATTTTTTTCTTTGTGATCCTTTCATTGGGTTTCGTCTTGGTTAACGTATATGTTTTAAATTGTAGCAACATTCTAATGATTTGATCTATTTTTTCATATTTAATTATATAACATTAGATTAGCTTTTTTTGATATTGATATATTTTTATAAATAATATGTAGTATAAAATATTAAAATTTTTTTATTAATTACAATTAATTTTTGTATTTTCCGAAGTAAATAATGAATATATTTTCTTAGTTTTATTTATTTACATAAATTTTATAGGATTGTACTATTATTAGATATTAATTATTTATATCTACTATTTTTTAATATCTTTTACAATAGGTGTGAATTTATATATTTAATTTTTGTAAATTTAATATTATTTAATTAATTTACTGTGGGGCTTCCGTTTTTTTTTTAGTACTATTATTAACTTACATTTTTTCCGTAATACACGCTTTATTCTGTTATGTGCCAGTTAACCATGCAGCAAACGATATGGTTTTATTGTAAATGTGTGTGTATGTGTGGTGTGTGTGTAGTGTGTAGCCTTTTACTAAACAGTTTTTGTCTGTATTGCAATGAACCCCTTATCATTTACTTACTTTGAATAAATCTAGTAAACTAAATAGTTTTTGGGTAAATTCCTCAGAATTCCATTGGCTTGAATGGGAGTCAAAATGACGGCTCTGGGAGTTCTAAAAGTTTCATAAATCTGATAGTCCTGGTGTTTTAACACAAGAAAAGACTAATTCTGTTGGGACAAATAAAATGTCTTTATGAAACAACCGCAAAAAGTGAGTTACTCCAGCTTGAATGTGCTTTATATACATTTAAAATATATACATGCATTTGTTTTGAAAAGATAAGACTCACTCGGACGTTTAGTATCGTTCAGCTCAGCAAATAAAATACAAAGCCATATATATTCTCTCTCGGCCGCTCCAGTGAACCTGAGCGTACGGCACAGACACAGTCCCTTGTGTCCCATCGTCTTCCTGTGTCTGAATCCTGGCGTTTCCCTCGTTCTTTAGCTCCATTCCTCTTTGCTTTTGCAGCGTCTTCTCTCTGCTCTCCCTCAGATATCAGAATGACATAAGACATGGGATCACGGGCACGCTGCAGCATATGGAAGCAGTCGAAGAGGACAATTTGCTCTGTTTTTATCGCCGAGAGCTTCGCAGCCGCTTCAATAAACAACGGCTGTGTCAAAACCACACGGAAAACAGCAGCGGGAAAGATGCGTGTAATGATCTGGCACCAAATGAACGAAAAGAAGAGAGGATTTTTAGTTTTGGATGCCCGCCAGAACTCACACAAACAAGAATGGTTGAACTACTACAACTTTAGTGCTTACAGTCCACTCAATGGACCTGTTCTTTAGATGTTGTTATACACTCAATAAAACTGCTTCTCTGTGAAACTCCGGGCCTTCAACAGACTTTCTCGAACCCTCAAAGCACTCAATTTGACGGCTATTACTTTTGGAAGTGAAATTACTCAGCGTATTAACATTTTTGGTCTTCATAACGTGTTACTTTTTGTGTGTCAATATGTTGTGTTTTTTTTCATGTCATTATTTTTCTTGTTGATTAATTAATTCATATGAACTTTTATATGATTTAATGTAAAATAATTGTTTGGTTGTTTGGTAATCAACATTCTATGGCAGATAAAGCAACTTTTCTCAAGGTGCTAGTGCTAGTTACCATAATAACACACCGTTCACTTGGCAGCAGTTAGCATTTAGCCTTTAAACAAACTGTGTTTGCTGTATTTAAAGTTATGTTAACCAGTTTTAGCATGTATCAAAGATAGGACCAAATACATGTTTTAATTTGAATAAAAGTAAGACTGTTTTTAGGGATTTTATCAGAATTCCATAGATTTGAATGGAAGCCATCAAAATGACTGCTCATGAAGTTGATAGTAGTTTCAGCTTTCAGTGAGTCCTATAGTGTTTAACCTGGGATACCTCAAAACTACATTGTAATAGAAAAAATGCAATGTGTTTAGCTCCAAATCTTTTTGACTCTATCAATTTTGTTTTCACATCTTTGTACTCACTTTTCTACTTTTTCAAGCAGAAAAGACAAAAAGAAAGAGCCTACCCTCACTCAGCCAATTCGCACTTTACCCAAAAAAGCTCAAATAATGAAAATAAATGTGTTATTTATGAAAAAAAGTTACGTACCCCAGCTTTAAATTGTAGTAAAACCATTTTGAATAATTCATAAAACTGGATCTAAATATCTTGATAATGTTGGTACATGAGGGTTGAATTACCAGTAGTAGTAAGTATTTCTTTCAAACTTACAATTTTAATAGAGCATAATATAAAACAAACAAGATAACAATAGCACAATAGTTTGCATTTCACTATCACTGCGTCTGGACACGTCTGTGATGGGTGTCTGGTAAGCCTTACACTGCGAAGACGATGTATTCCGGCAATTTGCGTTAATCAAAGCAGCGAAACTCGACACCTTTGGCTCCAACTTCCTCCATCAAACATGACATCGCAGTCAAAAGGCAAAACTGTACGTAACAGGAACCGTGAAATTCAAGAACCGTCTCTTTGTGGTCGCCTCACGCCAAGAGACACGGGGTAAAACTCTGGTCAGATCTACAAAGCATCCGCACGCAGACATGAAACAGAGACTAGTTAGCCTCGCTCCTAATTACAACACAAGTTCAACAGCAATATTTCATGTGCAGACATCAAGCAGGAAGTCCAAATACTGAAGAGCCTGGTTTGCTTCAATGCGTGTGTTTACAAAGCGAAAATTGAGTCCTCACCGACTCCAATTCGGTCCGATTGATGAAGATGCATGTAAACCTGAGATTGGTGTGAAAAACCAGTCTGATCCGAAGACCTGGTGCCGATTCTAATGCGGATCGGAATGAGACAGAGGGCAGTGATGCGTTTAAGAGCACAGGGAAAAGCTAAACTTGTATTAGAAATGTACGGTATTTTCTGGACTAGTAAGCGCACCTGTGTATAAGCCGTACCAGCAGCAAATTAAAATAAATTAAAAATGTCCACATACAGTCAGCAATAAGTTTGTGTAAGCTCTCAGTCGTACAGGGATTAGTCAAAACAAAGAAAAGTTGCTCACCCATCATCTGTGCTTCACTTAGTAGGTTTTCCCATATAGGCAACACTCGAATCTAAGTCGCAGGTTAGTTTTAAAACTGGTCACAAAATGATTTAATACTTTCCATGTTGGTACTCACACTTCACCAGTCTATTTTGACAAAAAACGAGTGTCCTACAGCTAAAACTTGACAGAATCAAAATAATAAGTCCATACACCCTGCTCTGACAAAACCCCAACTCGAACTCTAACACAGGGGTGTCCAAACATTAGTTCACCTGACTAGTACAGGGGGCGACGTCACGGACTGAAAAACTGTTGTGACTGGCATCGGGCTGTGCTGGTCTTTAAAATATCTAGAACCGAGCTGAAGTTGTCTGAATGACACATGTTCACCATCTCACAAGTCACCTGCTGAATTCTGGACTTACTGGGTTATAGAACAAGTTACGACATGTCTATATTGGCTGAGTTGAAGTTGGATGGATGACAGTGAACTTGTGTTTATGATCTCAAAGACTACTTTGGGTTGGCAAGGCAGAGGGCCACATTAAATGACACTGAGGGCCGCAATTGGCCCCCGGGAGTGAGTTTGGACATAAAAATACACAATGAACGCATCGTTATCATATCGTCATTAGCCGCAGGTTTCAAATAACTAGAAACAGGTAGCGGCTTGTAGTCAGGAAATTATGGTATGTATTTGGATGGGTTTAGATACTCACTCAATGTTTCTATTTCTTTGTTTTACACTGCCACAGCACACTTATCAAAAGCCACATACTGACAGAAAGTTGAGTTATGTCAACAATGTCTATGTTGTCGCGGCCAACGCAGATCACAGTGTGTAAGATATGCTAAGTGCTACATGCTATGATATGCTAGATATGCTAACATGGCAGGACACAATCGCTGCCGTCACAAAGATGCAGATTTGACAACTGGGAAAACACCATCACTATTCCATCCTCATTTGCAATCAAACTTCCACAAACCTCAACTTGTGCTAAAGCTACAACTAAAGAGGGTTATTTATAGCAGCAGATCTGGAAAACGCTGGATTAAAAGAAAAGAAATTGAGAATCGAATCGAATCGTGACCCTAAAATTGAAAATCAAATCGAATCGAGTATTTGGAGAATCGTGACACGCCTATAGTAGTTAAAGTGATTGTCTGGAGTTTGTCAGAAAGAGAGACAGAGAGAGGTACTTGATTTGAAAAAAAAGACGCAAGCTCCCTCCCCCTTCCTTTCTGATTGGTCTACACCTACGTTTCCGTAACAGATTTCAATGTTAATCAGAAAACACATTATACATATACTGTACATTATTAATACACATGCACAGAGGTTTTGAGAATTATTTGTTAATGTTTTAATGAAAAAATTATGTTTTTATGCCCAAAAAAAGCAATCGCGGCAAACTCGGAAAAGCTATTATCATGAACTGCACATTATAGGACACATCTGCAGAGGATCTGATTATGGATATAGGTTCAGTATATACATAAGTACCTCAGCGCCGATGTTCAGAATTCTTTGTTCAGTTGTCATTAAGTTCCAGAGCCTAATGGAGGCTTGATTTGGAGGTTCCGCAAAAACAAACAACTGAGCATGCGCGCAGCTACCAGCATGAGCGTTGATGATTGACAGCCCTTGGCATGACTCGATTGGTTAACGTGGACGGCATCGTGGATTCTG